CTGGGTGTCAGAGGTCAAACCCGGGTGGGCCACATGCAAGGCAAACACCCTCACTACCTACTTACTATGGCTCTGCCTCCTCAACTATCATTTGTTTTGCTTTTCCTTGCGTTCAGTGTATGAATTATTGACACTACAATTGAAAACTTTTATTACTTTCTGTTTCTTTGCTCTTTTCTGTGTATTAATGGTGAGAATATCATCCTTCAGATTTGTATTCCACTTCGACAGCCTTCTCTCTGATTCTGTAAGTTGTGTCATCCCAAGACCATTGTTCATGAAGTGGCTTTATTGTAAGTATGGATCATCTCTTTCTGTTTTATTCGTATGTTCCATAATTTGTGGACACATCTTGAACTTTCACCTGTTATTTCTTTTATTTTTTCTTTTTATTTCTTTCTATTTTTCCCCCCAGTGTTTTGGGCCACCCCTGGTAATAATATTCAGGAGCTACTCCTGGCTCAGGGCTAAGATGTCATTCCTGGTAGTGCTCAAAGATTCTTTATTCAATCCCTGAACTCCAGCCTAATGAATTATCTCTCCAGTCCTCTGATTTCTCATTTTGTAACCAAGAAGATAATATAATTCAATATTAGTAAGAGCTAACTTGCATGGCACTTACTGGGGCCTACCCTTGAAGTAAAGTCAGGAAACACACTAAGTGATTTGTTGTTTTAGCTCTTCTTGTATTCTTGAATCTTCTCCTTTCATCTTCTTTCGGTTTGAGGGTACTTTTTAGTGTGTTCACACAATTTTCGGGTGAGCAGTTAAATTTTTTTTTCTTTGTCAAAGAAGTGAGTTCTGCAGCTATTGAAAGAAATGGAACAGCTGCTTCATTTATTTCAAAGTAAATAAGATTAATTTACTCCCTTATTAAAACCATACTATATTTTTTCAATTTACTTCAAATAAAATCCAAAGCCCTTACCATGTCCTGCTGCATTTGCTCCACTTCCTGCCTCTGTGTCCTCGTGTTACACAATTTTTCCTCCTTTAATCTAGTCTTTCTGGAGTCCTGTTAGTTCCTGGGATATATGAAGCACTTTCCTGATATATGATATTTGCACCTGGTATTCTCTTTGCTTAAAAATTGTTGGGTTTAATTTTTGTTATTTGGGTTTTTTTTTTTCAGCTCTGACCTCAGGTTTTCTGTTTCTAGAATTAGCTTTCCTATTAGAGTCACCTACTTAATTTCCTCAAAGCATAAGTCACTCTCTTTAATTATTATTTGTGTTTACTGACTGACCCTGTATTTAAATAAAATATAATCTCCATGTATTTCATTTTCAAAAAACATCTTTCTCAATGCTATTGAATTCACTGTGATAATTTATTATGACTGTAACATGATAATGTTCAATTAACAAGAACATTACTAGTTTATTATTATTATCATCAGTATATCTCTTTTCCCCCAAATAGGCCAAGCAACTTGTATCCATCTTTTCACCTAAATTATCAACATTAAGTCCAACAAAAGATGACCATATGTCACTTTGGTTTTATGAATAAGTAAACCGATCCACAAACTGTAAACATACACAAAGCTAATTGGATGGTGACTAAAATTAATTATCTCTTTTTGAGAGATGAAGGGAAGTTCTATATAGAAATAACATTGAAGTGAAAGGGGAAAATCCTTTATATTTTCTTTTAGGAATTTCATTTTTCAAAACTGTTCAGCTTTGAAATACACCATCCTTTATTGCAGCATAAAAGAAATAATCTAGAGCTTTCTTTCTTTAGAATTTTAAAACTGGGAAGAATCAGGCAAATTTTTTTCAGTAAGTTTAGATGAAAAGAGTGCTATTATAGGTAAATGTAGATGGGAAGAAAACTGATTGTGACAAATGATGAACATTTATCTGGGCCTTGTAATTTATGTACTCTGTTTTCAAAACAAATTAAAAGACAATCTCATGGCATGTATAATACTGATTTTAATACAGAAAAATATCCTTGTGCAGCAAAATAATGCTGTCTTAGATGATCATAGCATCTAAAATTGGTAAATTCCAAGTTTGATTTTGACTGTGTTTTCATAGTCTGTGAACACACACACTCTCAACGGGAGAACAGTGTGTTTTCTAATAATTCTATTTGCCATAATTTTGCCATGCTTTTGGGCCAAGTCAAGCACAAACACTGTCCTCCCGATGTTCATTGATTTGCTCGAGCAGGCCCAGTAACATCTCCATTTTGGAACTTGTTGTTACTGTGTTTGGCATATTGAATACATCATGGCTTTCCAGGCTTTTCCATGCGGGTAAGATACTCTCGGTAGTTTGCCGGCTCTCCGAGAGGGGCGGAGGAAATAATAACCCGGTTCGGCCAGGCTGGCTGTGGCCGGACGCAAGGCAAACGCCCTACCGCTGTGCTATCGCTCCAGCCCTCGGACCAAGTAATATGAAATAAATTTGTTGTCTGCCTGCCAAGGTGGCCAAAGAAAAGGCGTCTTTTATGACAGGAAAGTTAACCATGATTACTGCAGTAATATCCAAGTACAAAACAAAATTCAATGCAATGTATTTTAGATGCAAGAGATGAAAATTCAGTTATGTAAGTGAGAATAGACAGTATACTCTATTGTATTAAGTTATTTGAATTTATTTGGATAGGTTAAAATCATAGCAATCAATTGTTACAAACTGACTTTTGTTGATTTGTTTTCTGATAATTCCATTTGCTAGTTCTTTAGGCTTTATTGGAGCAAGCAGTATGAAATAAATGTGTTACTTGCCTCCCAAAGGGCCAGCGTGGGGGTAGCAGGGAACCTGGGAATACTGGTGGAGGAAAAGTAATATTGCTGGTGGGATTGGTGTTGGAATACCGTACACCTGAGACAACTCTACTATGAACAGTTTTGCAAATCATGGTATCTTAATAAAAACTTTTTAAAAAATCTTACACAAGAAAATAAATAAATGGAAGAGTCCAACCCTGATTATATATTATAGGATGGTCTCAGCCTTGAATCTAGGCATGTATGTCATCCTGAAGATCATACTCTACCCAGAAAATGTTTTGTATCTCCCCCAAATAGTTTGTAGTCTGCTTACTCACACAGCTTCCAGTGCTCAGGGCAAAAGTCTGAGTAGATGGGGAAAATAAGAACGTCGTAATGGAGTTAGACTAACTCATTTGTATATTCCTAAACCAATCTCTTGTGGTGACCCAGGCAGGCTATTTTATTGAGGAACAAATGCACACTAATGGGAATGGGATGCTGTGTTCTTCTACACTGTGTGCCGTGCATTCAAAAATGGAATATAAAGATAGAGATTAACTGCAAGAACAACATGCCAAGTTTTTTGTTGTTGTTGTTTCTTTTTTTAAATAAGAACTTCCTGGCACCACAAATGTTCCCATGAGCACCTCCAGGGGTAACTTTTGAGCAGAGAACCAAGAATAAACCCTGAGCACTGCTGGTAAGGCCTACACCCTTACCCCCCCCAAAAAAAAAATTAGAAAAATAAACTGATTATAAAAGAACTTGATGGGTATTACAGTAAAACACACACACACACACACACACACACACACACACACACACACACCTATTTCTGCTCTCTGTACCTCATCACCATCTTCTCTACCCTAACAACCCAATTCTCCTTAATTTCTCACATTCTCTTCTCCAAAGTAACTTCCTTTGCCTTTCAGTTCAGTACAGTTATTAAGTCCTAACTTTCAAAATCCCTCTCCTTCCTCCTCTTTCATCCTTTTCATTTGTTCATAACTTCACTCTGGCCCAAGAACAAATTCTCTTCCTCTTTACATAACCTCAACTCTCAAGCAGCATTCTTGGAGAACCAATCTTCATGAGATCAAAATAACCACAGTTCAAACAAACAAAAAAACAAACAAACACTGTCCTCCCGTTGTTCATCGTTTTGCTCGAGCGGGCCCAATAATGTCTCCATTTTGAAACTACTTGTTACTGTGTTTGGCATACTGAATACCTCACGGATAGCTTGCCAGGCTTTGACGTGTGGGCGAGATACTTTCAGTAGCTTGCTGGGCTCTCCGAGAGGGCCAGAGGAATCAAACCCGGCTCTGTCTGTCTGGCTGCGCGCAAGGCAAACGCCCTACCACTGTGCTATCGCTCCAGCCCTCATCCTTGGAAAATAAATGGGTCAAAATAGTTGTTTCGTTGTGGGGGTGGCGGGGGTGGGGTGGTGGTCCTAGAGATTCGTGTAAACCTTGAGAGAATACACAGGTGAAGTTTAGGGCCTCAGGCGCAGTGTTGGTTGTTTTAGCAAACAGAAACAGCATGCAGAAACATAGCTCTCCCTGCAGTATGTAACATTATTTTATTTAAGGCTGCCAGGTGGATTAAGGACCGTATCCAGTGCATGAGATTTCAAATGAGAAGGCGATTGTCCATATCGCTCCTACATTGCTGTCCTTGGAGAGCTGTGTCCCAGTTTCCCGTGGGATAACTTTCAGCCTGAGAGGGCTTTCTATAGCTGTGAACTGCTCTATTTTATTTTTATTTTTATTTTAACTGGGTCTTCCTCCTCCTGAGTCTCTTTCACACAACTTCTCCATTAGTAAAAATGTGATGAGTAATTCAAGGTTTGACACCACCCCAGGGTAACAGCCAGGATAAGGATAGGGAAATGGTGTTATCCAGAGGATAGCACATTTAACACTAAAGTTCTCCATTCCCTGCCCCCTCCCCCCCCCCCCCCCCACACACACACACAAACACAACATTTTACCTTGGGTTACCTCTCCTTCCCATTCCTCACTCTTGGACTTGATAATCTCTGCTGCTTCCAGCTCAGCCTTGGAAATTCCCACCCTGCTACATTTCTCTTTCAGCTTCTTTGTTTTACAAATCCCAGAGGTTGGCCCTGGTTAAACCAAGCCAGACATTTGCTATTCTCTGATTCTCTGAGCCCAGAATGAAAGAAACCAATATTTTCATGTCTTTTTCCTATTTGGGCATGGATTTGAGTAGCTGTACAATGAACTTCTCTCTTTTACTTTTTCAGATAGACCATATGGTGCAGGGCCATGCTGCCTTCCCTGAATTACAAGCCAAGGCCGCTGCCAGGTAATTGTTCTCTCTCTTCTTATAGAACATTCCATGTATGACTGAATGGAAGGCCTTCAGCTGCATGGTTTTCAGATCCTGTGGGCAATGAAAATGCACAACAATGCTGAGTTATAAGACAATCCTTCATTGCTCGAGCGGGCCCAGTAACGTCTCCATTGGAGACTTTTGTTGTTACTGTGTTTGGCATATCGAATACTCTCAGTAGCTTGCCGGGCTCTCCGAGAGGGGCGGAGGAATCGAACTCGGATCGGCCATGTTGGCCGCTTGTAAGGCGAACGCCCTACCCGCTGTGCTATCACTCCAGCCCAGACAATCCTTCATATGATGCACAATACACATCAGTGAATTTCCAAAATAATCTAGGAGAACTCAGAGGAATTAAAATTTTTCAAGGACATGACATCACACAGAAATTAGAAGCTCTAAGGTAGAAGGAGTCAAATGACTATTTATTTATTTATTTATTTATTTATTTATTTTTTACTCGGTGTCTGGGCTTGGTTGACTTTCAGACTTTTTAAACTTTCTATATTAAATTGTGGGTAATAATTGATATGGAATTATTCCCAGCACATATTGTTGGTGGGAAAGGTAGAGATCAAGAAGTGTTTAAAAGACAATCTACTTAGTGTAAAAAAGAGGCCATATAAGAAAATATCTGTGTGTATTCATTTCTGCAAAAGAAGTGCAAGAAGGTTCAGCCAGAAACTGAGCGATTGGTTACCTGTCGAGAATAAGTAGGAATGGCATGGAAAGCAAAGGAATGGGGACAGCCTAGTATGAGGTAGCAACTTTTCTCTGGATGACCTGAATTCTGCTAGAGTAATGACAGATAGAAAAATAGTTACCTACGAGGATGTGTCGGGTGCGGGGATTCAGGGGAAGCAGAAGTAAATACAAAAAGCAGAGGATGAAGCCCTTGCATTCATACTGAATATCATAATCTCTCTAAAGAAGGTTCAGGAAAGAAAAGAATGCACCTAAAGAACTTGGGGAGGGGCTGGAGCAATAGCACAGCGGGTAGAGCGTTTGCCTTGCACGCAGCCAACCCAGGTTCGATTCCCAGCATCCCATATGGTCCCCTGAGCACTGCCAGGGCTGATTCCTGAGTGCAGAGCCAGGAGTAACCCCTGTGAGTCACCAGGAGTGACCCCAAAAGCAAAAAAAAAAAAAGAACTTGGGGAAAGGATATTTTGGCAGTCTGTATGATAAAAGGTAAAATTGACTATACAGAAACATTACACTAACAAATTTATTTTTCATAGCTATATAGGTTAGCTATTCAGGAAGTTGTTTATGTGTAGACTATAGTCAGCTGAGCAAATTAATATGCTGTGAATGATGAGAGCCAACTAAAAGGAGAGTTTTGAATGAACTCAACACCCCTAGATAGAAATTGGGGCTATTTTAATATTTGCACAGTGAGATATAATGGAAAATGTATTTAAACATGCACATCTGTGTGTCCATGTAGCTATATTCCCATGTACCTGCCTTACTCTGCTATCTCTGCTTGAAATGGTCCAAAGCAAAAGCATCCTGAGAGCAAGGTTCACCATCCAACACCCAGATACTGGTTTCTAAATTCCCCACATACCGTTTTCTTAGTAACAGTCACAAGGACTTCTTTGGAAAATGACCATTGTAAAGTCTGAACAGGGCAAATACATGAGTATTTTGTGATACCAAAAGGTAGGAAGCACTCAAAAAGAAACTGTCTAGGGAAAAAAGAGTCATCCTTCACAATCTTTCAACAACTTAATCATGGACATTTTGATCAGCGGTATAAAGAATGACTATAATATGGCTCCAATCTAAGTAGATAATAAAAGAAATAAAAACAGAGGAAAGGATAGATATGTTAAGACAGTGACAAATCAATTCTCGCTAATCATTAGTCATCTGTCACATCAGAAAAAGGATATGAGTGTAGGAAATCTGTCAACATTCAAATAAGTCTCCAGCTAGTTCATTTCTTTGATGATGTATATAAAATAAGTATATGTACTGTTTTTACAATGCTTATATCAATCTAAAATTCCTTCAAAATGAAATCCAGTTTTTTAAGCTTTCTCATAAAATAATTATAAATTGTGAACTTTTTAAGAAAAGTGAACTATGAAGCCCCACATTTCCGGTTTATACTTCATGGATAGTTTCAGATGAATGTTAAGACCATTAGGGCTGAAGCAATAGTACAGTGGCTAAGGTGTTTGCCTTTCATGCAGCCGACCTGTGTTCGATTCCCAGCATCCCATATGGTCCCCCAAACACCACCAGGAGTAATTCTTGAGTGCATGAACCAAGAGTAATTCCTGTGCATCACCGGGTGTGACCCAAAAAGCAAAAAAAGAGAAGTTAATACTATTGAGTGTGGAGCTGAATTATCAGATCCCAGTCTCACCACTAGGTCCTAGCTATGTGATCAAGCAATTTACTTGACCTCTTTGTGCCTTAGGAACTCACTGTAAAGGAAAGTAACAGTATCAGATACCTTACAATGTTGTTGCATAAATTAATAAACTATAAAAGTGGTTGGCAACAGGGACAAAGTGTCATGCTGCCCTGGGTGCTGAGGAACTGAGAGAAGCTGATAATGGCTGTGATTGTTGTCATTTTTTTATATTCCATTCCACAAGGGACTTATTTGAGCTGGAGAAAGCCATTTGCACAGAGCATATACACAGTGTGCGTATATAAGCATGGAATGTACACAGTTTGAGCATATAAACAATATGTCATTGGGACCTGGGGAGGAAGATCAAAACAGACCCTGAATTTGAGAACTGTCATATAGATGAGTCCTGCAGGAGTCTCTTGTCTCATTGTCATTATCACCAGGAGGAACAAACATGTCACCCTTCCAGCTAGAAGAAAAGTTGGTAGGGGAAGACTCATCATCTATATTAGAGGTGCCTAATTTCAGATCAGTAAAGAACCCCTTAACTGTGTGCAGTTTTGTTGCTTAGATGCTTCTGAATATATTTTTATGGAGGAGGATCATAATGGGGCTCATGGTTTTTAAGGGAGCCAGAATTTATAAATCTCTAAGCCATAAAAAGACTATGTGTAGTTTAAAAATCTAGATTCCATTCCCAGCTCCAACAGTGCTTCCTCACATCCTACCACAATGGGATTCTTAGTTTCTTCATCAGAGCATGGGATTTTAATGATGAAAGAACCAACTCTGGACTCTGCCAAGAATTCGTTTTTAACTTATTGAGGTAATGTACCAGTATAACCTCACTATATATTGTACTGCATTGTAAGACAATCTGTTGTAAACTATACAACAGCTGATAAACTATTCCTACTACCATCACTCTTATTATTGCAACTTTGGTGATTACTAGTAATTCTTCTGCTACTGCTATCACTACTACTGCTGCTGCTGCTGCTGCTACTTCTATTAGTGTTACTAATGATTGTAAAAAAGGAAGAAGTGTTGTACAGTTAATATGTCAACCATTCATTTTCTGCCTGTACACCTACAGAAGATATGGTAGAACAGTAGGAACTGTGGACTGAGAAACAGAGATACTAAGTTCTGGTGCCATTTTTGTCAAAAATGTACCTGTGGAGCTGGAGCGATAGCACAGCGGGTAGGGCGTTTGCCTTGCATGCAGCCAACATGGCCGACACTGGTTTGATTCCCAGCATCCCATATGGTCCCCCGAGCACCGCCAGGAGTAATTCCTGAGTGCATGAGCCAGGAGTAACCCTGAGCATTGCTGGGTGTGACCCAAAAAGCAAAAAAAAAAAAAAAATGCACCTTTGACAAAATTTCCCCACCCAGAAAAGTCACAATACCTTCCTGGTTCATATTGTATTTGAGGATGAAAGAGGATCATGGAAGTATCAGTTTCTGAAGGTCTCAGAGCTCAACACATACCCAAAGTAGAGATAAATTTGCAGTGAAACACTCAAAATGTCCTGAACTTTCTCTAGGGGAGAAACTCCAATGCACAGTCTTTTTCAGTTTGAAAGAGGAAAGAAGCAAGGCTATCTAGGTTGGTATTCAAACTCAGAGAGTCACCTGCAATGAATGATGGTACCAGAGCAGCCACGAGAGAATATGGTCTGAGAGTCTGACTGAATTGAAAACCTAGTTCCTGTCAATGAACTTAGACTCCAGAGCCCTTTCCAAGTTCCCTCCCAGATTTCTCACTTTAGACTTGTTTCTCCAAAGCAGTGCTTTGCTGACTTGTTCATACTCTTGGTAATTCTTTCCTGGCTTTGTCCTCCCCCCTTAACCACTGCAGTTTGAATTTTGTCACCATCTACTCCTGAAACAGTAAATGTTTGGTTCCTTAGCATCTGTAGATGCTAAACCCATTGAGCACATACTGGTCCTTTTCCTTGAGCATTTTGCTGCAATGTGACCACTGTGAATCTTTCTCTCCATTTCACACTCTTTTTTGGCTTCTAGAAATACACCCCTCTCTCTGTGTTCTTCCTTCATCTCTAATTCTTCTTCCTTGATTTCCTGCAGGCACATGGTTTCTCTTGACCATAACCTCAAAGTTCATAACAGCTTGGTGGCTCGCCCTTTTTTTCCTCTTTGCTGTTTCTTCCAAGATCACCCTATGAGCATTCCTGGCTTCATTTCTTTCTCTATTTTAATGAGTTCCAAATTTTGTGCCCAGCTCACATATTTGGTAAATGCTCAGTTAATATTAATTGTCATCCCTTCCACTTTCCTTTTATTGACTTTCGAAGAAAGTGCATCTGTGTCTTATCTGATCTATAAACTGAGTATTCCAAGATGGCAAGACTCATTATAGTTCAGACCTTATAAGAAATTGTATGCATAGTTGTTTCTTTTAAAACAAAGTTAGCTGCCAGTAAGGGACAATGAATCCTTGGAATCAGAAGCCATATGCATTCTTTTGCTATGACTTGGGATTCTCCAAAAACACCCAGGGAAGTTAACCTTACCCTAGAGCTTAGCTTCAGTAAATCCTATTCAAAACTATAGAAACAAATGTTGATAAACA